TCCTAACAGATTTAAATAACATTAAAATGCAGGCTTTGCCTTTCTCTCTCTCTCTTTTCCTTTAACAGACTATTTGAAATGAAAATGAAACAATTCCCAATGCATGATACTTGTTTGAACATATTGTGCACTTCTGCTAGCACTTAATTTTTTTAAAGTTTTGGAGGCACATAGTAGCTCCTTAAGAAAAGAACCTCACTGTTATTGGAACTGCTCCTATACTCTATAGTTACCTGCTGTATTATAATACCAATTAGCCATGTGAAATTAAACAGTGGTAGAAGATATCGTCAAACAGATGGTATTTGCTGGAGGAGGTGCAAATACCCTTCACTTTTCTAATGAGCTACCCAGAATGCCTACCTGAATTTTCACTTTTCAAAATTTCAAGACATATATGTTAGGCAATATTATAGATACTGTATCTGCTTATGTTTATTGATGGTGACACAAGACTATGCTGTTATGTTTGCTTTTTTGCACTTATGGTGGGTGTTTAACTGGCAGCCAAGATGTGCCAGATGGAGATACAATCTTTGCACCATCACCTAACCCTGACCAAAAGAAAGAGCTGTAGAAAAAAATATTTATTTTATTTATTTATGTATTTGATTTATACCTCGCCTATCTGGTCTACTCGACCACTGGATAGCCCACACACCACCACCCCGCCTATCTGGTCTACTCGACCACTGTATAGCCCATACACCACTAAGAGTAAGGGAATTTGTATGAGCTGCTATGGATACAGGAAGTCAGATAGAATTGTGTGGTCCCTACAAAATGAGTGAAGGGGTAGAACACATACTTGAAACATACATTTAGACCACTGCTTAAGCAATAAAGTGACCCTGATCCTGCTGGATATGAATTGCCTCTGCTTTCAATGGAAGAGGTGCAAAGATCTATGATGGCTGGTATCACTTACATTTCCAGCTCCCTGGCAATACTGACCACGCCAAGGTCTTGGCATGCTTTCTGAATAATTACTGAGGGAGTTAACTCCCTGAGCTGAATAAAGGTTGTGTCTGGACTGTTCAAAATTCGGACTGCAGTGGCGCAAGGCAGGCGTTCCTTGTGATTGATAGGAGACAAAGACATCACAACGAAGATGGCAATCTTCTTCATTATGTTATCTAGGAAATCCCAGGAAGCTGAATCAATGAACTGAGCTTCATCGATGACAAAAATCAGAATTTCCTTCTTCGCTGCCTGAGAAGGAAGCAACAATCCAGTATCAGATGATCATATAACCACAGACCTCCTGTCTCTGTCACCACACCATTTACAGCTGTCATCCATTATTGTTATTAATGAACTTTCCCCTTGAGACAAAAGCCCGAGTTTCTTTACCCTGTTTTGGAATAAAACTATTAAAACTACTATTAATGTTCCTAATATTGCACAAGACGCCATAAAATGAAGATACGTGATGTATGGTCCTCTAGGTCAGGGGTTCTCAACCTACAGCCCTCAGGCCGAATGTATCCTCTGGGCTCTTTCTGTGCAGCCCTCCAAACTGCTTGTTCACTGCCGTCACCCTCAAGGCATTTTCCCTCAGACCCACACTCTTCTTCCAGCCCCATCTACATCTGTTTTTTTCCCTGTCCCTTTCTTACAAAAACCACCACCACAACATTGTTTCTTCTGGTCTCCAAGGTTCCTTCTATCAGCCCCCTCTTCGTCTTATCCTCCATACTAGCACTTTGGCTATTCTGGGTGCTTTGCTAGCCCTGCCACTCGTATCACTCAGGTTTTTCTCTTTCCTTCTCCATACATCACCATGTTGAAGGCTATATATAATATATGTGTAAGGAAGATAAAGCAGCTGTGTTGATGGGTACAGGAAATGTCTGGCCTGCTTTTTGCAAAAAAAAAAAAAGGCAGGAAAAGTTGAGTAAAACACCTGCCATTTTTCCAAAAATGTTACCAAGTGTTTTGCATACTAAACATCTCTAGAGGCAAAAGACTCTACCCATGAAGGCTCCCGCAAGTGGCTTCCAAGATTCCTGCTGAGATTTGCTGCTTGATGCAAAAGCATTCTTCCTTCCTCAACAGGAGCTGGTTGCTCTGGCCTTTTACTTTGCTTGCTTTTGCCTCTCTTTTCCCTCCCTTTCCAGCTGGGAGTCTTCTTATGGCTCTGTGATGGCGGGAGCTGGTGAGTGGCCCCTTGGGTTTAAAGGGAAGGAGTGCTCTCCTAGCAGGGAAGCTTGTGGGATTCCCCTTCCCACATCTTCTTCCTGCCAAGTTCCATTCCCCCATGGCTGCCATTTTGCTTCTCATAATTGAGACGTGGTTGGCAGGCAGTGATGTGTATGTCCACCTTGCATATAATTTAAAGCCAACTTAATGGCGTATCCCCTGCTCCAGGTGGGAGGCTGCCCTTTCAGTCACTCCTTCTCTCTACCTGCCCCTCATTTTAAAAATATTAGCATGTCTAGATTTAAACCTCAAGGCAGTGTGTTTATTAAGAAATAAAACCCATAGTATCCAATGTACTTAGGATCACAACTCTGCCATCTGGTAGGTTAGAATCATAATCCATTTTTTTAAAAAATATTCCTAACCTGTGCATATGGCCCAATATTTCTGAGAGTTGTTAGAGGCAAGGGTCTCGTCTCTTCTTTGCCATAGTCAACTGAAAATCCCCAGCTAGCAGCAGCAAGGGTGGTGTGGATTTGATGGGAAAGGGAAGAATTAGACCCCTAAAAGTATACTTCTTGGGTTTTTATTTATTCAGGGATAATATTGAAACTCCACAACTGCTGCTCTGCTAAAAATTATGTAAGAAGATGTCTGCAAAAGAAAGTGTTGTCTCAAAGCAACAAGAAATTACAAATGAGCACCGTGTCTTTAATGACAAATGGACTACTTTAAACAAAGATTAAGCAGTCTGCGGGATATGTCTTGAAATGGTCTCACTATTAAAGGAATACAATGAAAAAGGAACTCTGAGTCCTTTCATGAGAGGTGAGAATGAACAACACAAATTCTCTTTAAAAATCAATGTTTTTGCAGCAAAATAGTTTGAGAAAGCATATGGATGAGAACCTGTCGACTGAGGGCCAGCTATCATGTTGCTAAATGTATTGTTGAGAGTGGCAGGCCATTCACTGATAGTGAATTTGTTAAAAAGTACATGGTTAGAGTAATGGAGGAAATGTGTCCTCCCAAGGTACCTTGTGTTAGTTGTGTTAGTTTATCTGCACCTGCAATCATCGGGCATGTTGAAGAACTAGGAGACTGCATATGTCACTGACTGTCAAGGCAAAAAGATTTTATTTTTTTTCCCTTTTGCATTAGATGAGAGCAATGGCATTATAGACACTGCTCAGCTCCTAATACTTATCAGTGGGATAGATTCCAACTTCAGAATTGCAGAAGAATTGTGTCCACTGCAGACTTTGAAAGTCACTAAAAGTGCAGAAAACATATTTTTGTAGGTATGTGAATCAGTAGAAAATCTTGGTCTGAGTTGAGATAAATTGAAAAGCAACCGATGGTGCAAGTGCAGTTGCAAGAATCAGTGAAGAGACATCGAAATTAAATGGTACACTTCCCATGCAATGTCACTTCATCAGCAAGTCTTGTATAGTAAAATTCTTCAGTGGGAAAGTGTGATGTGCATTGTTGTACCCAACATTCATTACATCTGGCATCTTGGCCATACTCATTATCAATTTCAAAATTTTCTGTCATAGATAAATGCAGAATATGGAGATGTATTGTACTATGCAGAAGTCATGTGGCTTAGCAGAGGCAAAGTCCTCAAATGTTTTTTCAGTCTTCATCATAATGCCTTTCTCAAGGAGAAAGGAAAAGTTTAAGAAATGCTTTCTGACCCTGGATGGATTTTTGAGTTGGTTTTCTTAACTGATATTGCAGAGCATCTGAACACATTGAACCTAAGGTTGCAGGGAAAAGAGAAGTTTGTGTGTGACATGTGTTCTGAACTGAAAGCTTCTAAAGCAAAAGAAAACATTTTGTGAAGAAAGTTAGTGAAAGTAACTTTTCAAACTTCTTATTCTGCAATGAACTTAAATTTGAGAAGGACAGGAATTTACAATTCAATGTTGAAAGACACATCAAAGCACTGAACCCATTGTAGGTAGAATTCCAGAACAGATTCACTGATTTATTTATTTTTATTTTTATTTATATCCCGCCTATCTGGTCTTGCGACCACTCTGATTGCCATAAACATGGAAAGGAAATAAGAATGCTTCAGAATCCATTTGAAGTAGCACCAGAAGGTGAAAGTGACTTTTTTTAGATGGAAGTAATTGATTTGCAAGCTAGTGATCATCTCAGAGACATTTGCAAAGAAAATAGTCTGTTAGAGTTCTGTTTTGATCTACCTGAAGTATTTATCAACCAAAAGCAATTTGCTGCAGACATGTTTGCAGTCTTTTGGCAGCACATAGATCTGTGAGCAAACTTTTTTGAAGATGAAAATTGTGAAATCCAAGTGTAGCTCAAGACTTACAGATGAACATTTAGATGACATTTTAAGGGTGTCTGCCACAAACTTGACTTCATTAGTGCCTTGGCTATCAGAAAACAGCCACAAAAACACACTAACTAGGTAAACAAATAAAATGAATCTAGATAAAAGAATTCCACAGTTAAATATTGTTTGAAAATGGACTGTGTTCAAGTTAACATTTCTTCATTGATCTCTGAAGGTTTATTTTTTTATCTAAAATGGTAAGTATAGCGTTCACCCTTATTATGTTAAGGAGTCATGCATATACATGTTGCAGGCTAATGTTGCTGAGAGGCGGAGCTAAGAGATATGTAAAAAGAGGCAGAGTCAGAGAGTGAAAGTCAGTGAGAGTGGAGAGGGAGATAGAGTGTGGTATTTGGGAGATCTGAGGTGTAATTAGAGTGAAGAGTGAATAAGAACTGTGATAACCAATAGAACAGAGGTCCTCAAACTTTTCCTTACCACGGACCGGCTGAGCCTCTGAGGGAGGTCGGGCAGCCCCTCACGCTCGCGCTCTCGGATGCATGCACGAAGTGATGAGGGATCGCACGCGCTAGAGGTGCGCGCATGCTCCCCCATTCTGAGGGAGGTCGGGCAGCCCCTCACGCTTGCGCTCTCAGATGCATGCACGAAGTGATGAGGGATTGCACGCGCTAGAGGTGCACGCATGCTCCCCCACCACTTTGTGCATGTGCAGGAGTGCCTGCCCACCCGTGCACCCACTCCTGCGCGGGGGCACATGTTTGAAGGGGTGAGGGAGCAGGGGTGAGGGGGGAAGGTTTATTTTCACAGCTGGGTGGCGGCAGCGACCGGGTGGTGCAGAGCCGGGAGAGAGAGCAAGAGTGAGTGAGTGTGTGTGTGTGTGAGAGAGAGAGGCAAGCAAGTATTTACATTTACAGCAGGAAGGGAACAGAAGTAGGACTTCCCCCAGTAAGGAAGCAGAAAGAATACGTATGCTGGCTTGGGGTATTCTCAGCCTCAGGTTGGGAACCATCATACCCCATTTGTAAAGTTCTTGCCATGCCTCTAGCGCATGTGCACGTGCGCTCCCCCGCTACTTGACATGTTCGCAGGAGTGCCTGCCCACCCCGCCCCTGCGTGTTGGCGCATGCTTGAAGGGGTGAGGGAGTGCCTGCCAGCGCCAGCAGCCTGGGAGTCTGAGCATGGCTGGGGTGCTCCCTCCGGCCGCTCACCTCCCAGGCTCCAACAAAGCCAGGGGCAGCGCTCCTCACCACCCTCTGCAGCGGGAAATTCAAATGGTGGAGGGCAGGGAGGAGTGCCGAAGACTGACGTGGCAGCCCCGGCAAGCAGCCACTGGTGCCAGTTCTGGAGCAGGAGGCACCAGCGGCAGCATCAGCCTGCTGAGGGTGGCAAGGAGTGCCGACCCTGGCTTTGTTGGAGATTGGGAGGCGAGCGGTCCCAAGATATAGAATACCCCAAGCCAGCATACGTATTCTTTCTGCCTCCTTACTGGGGGAAGTCCTACCTCTGTTCCCTTCCTGCTATAAATGTAAATATTTGCTTGCCTCTCTCTCTCTCTCATGGTTCTGCACCCCACCCCCACCCACGTTGCCACCGCCGCTGCCAGGAGGAGAGCGCCCAGGCCTTGCTCTTCCTCCCAGCTACTTCTCCACCCCAGTCACCACCACCACTGGGCCGCAAAGGCAGACCTCCCACCTACCCCTACATGCACTCCCCTCCCCACAGCTGCTTTGCACATGCGAGG